GGTACTCTTTTTAGAGATATTTCAAGTGGGTATTTCACTACGAGGTTATGTGAACCATAGAGGTGCCGGTGTTTTTTTGTTGTTGTTGTTGTGATAGTATGTGGTAATAGTGTGTGAATGGGTTGAAATTGTCTCGCGTCGGATTGAGTTTTCTCCTGGGAATCCGCTATTTGGAGATCCGTCCGAAGAGATGGATCTACTTTTAAAGAAGGTAAAGGCGGCCGCCAAGCGTGAACTAAGGAGTCTGGGGTAATCCGTTGAAGCGTTCTGAGCTTACACCGGCTACTGGCATTAAAGCACACATATGTTTGAATCACAGCGGGCGTCGGGGGGGGGAGCCCTGCCACGGGTTAATTCCACTTTTGAGGCGATCCATTCAGGCAGATCCGCCCTCACAAACGCTCGTCTCGCACCCTCTCAAGAAAGGAAAACCCTTCCAGACGCGTGAGAAGTTCCTGGATTTCCCAGATATCTGTATTTTCAGGCTCGGATTAGTCGCAGTCCGTCAGCCACGTTCGATGGACGGGGGGGGGGGTTGCCCATCGGTTTAAAAATTCTTGGGTTGATCAGAAAGTAGAGGCAAAAATTCAAATTCGCTCTATTGTCAAAAAGCAAAGCTCTAATTAACCACAAAGGAAAATATCTGACAATTTATAGATATTTTTAATGGGCCTCTGGACTTTTTCAAATTTACCTTTGGGAGAAGATACAGGAAGGAAATACGACCTCCCACATTGATTCCGTTTGAAGAATCGGTTTTGGACTTTAAGACTCATTATATTTTCCCATTTCCTCGACCATTTCGAGAAGAATTATACTTTAATAGTGTGTGGATGGGTTGAACTTATGTCGTCACAACTCCTAGTTGTCACTTTCTGTGTATCAATTTGGCTTAGAAAAAACCTTTCCTAAACATGAAAAACATGAAAAAGTTCCGATGTTTGTTCGAGCAGGATTTTATCAAAGGTTATTATTGTAAATAACGCGGAACGTTGCATGTGAATGGACAAACGTGCAGTTTGATAAAGAGGGAAGGTATCGGATCGTTTCGCTTCGTTGCAAAATAATAATTTTTTTTTCAAAATTATCTCTGGATCGATTTTCATGCATATCCTAATCTGCATGAAGTCTGGTTATACGGGCTCCCCTGCAATACCCTGCATCACCAGCAAGAATAAACATAGTACGGTCTCCCTGTTTCACGTCCTCCAAACACGTTGTTTTCTGCCGGCGGAATTGCCGCAAAGGCCGATGGCGTCGACGATAATTTCGCTACAGCTGGTGAAACTGTAGATTTCTGTAGATTGCAGATCGTCCGGTGCAGAAACACACGCCAGCGGTTTGGACAAGGAAGACGTACGATTCAAAAATATTCAAGCGCTGTGTTTGCTCTTACATAGTTGTACAGTGTTGGCCAATCCATCCAAGACTCGCTAACTGCCATTTAGTCGGAATATTTGACTATGCTATTTTCATATCTCCCGTTTGAGACGCCAAACTTTGTGCACTGAAAGCAGTCTATCAAAAGTCGTAACGCTGCAAGATAGACCAAACCGACTGGCTTCGAATTGAAGCGTTCGTCGACGTTCAGTTCTAGATAATATATTTCATTCTTTATGCATTCATTCTTCTCATAATATATTCAGTGTGATTTTATAGTCGTTTCACGTCAAAAATCTTTTTGCTGTCGTGCCTAGTTAGTCTGCCCACTTAACTAGTCATTTTTCTACCGTTAGTATCTCAATGTAATTATTGATATTACATTGTACTTTTTGCTCTATCTAACTATATGCAAACGGTTAATAGGTATACGAATTAATCGTTAAAACATATTAATTTATTAAAGAAACAAGGATTTTCAAAGTGTATCCGTAAAAGTATGTTTAGTCGGGTCGTTACCGATAATTTTTTATCGGCTTATTTTCACTGCTCCTGCTTTTTGATATCAGTGCTAACCTAGCACTGAGGATGATGTGAAGCCAAGGAAACGACCAAGTACAGGTTCATTCCCCGCAAACCCCACAAAGAAATCTTACGAAAGTATTTTTGTATTGGTGACCCACTGTCGTCGGGTTTTTTCTAACCCTTACCCGGCCTATAAACTATTCCTAACTCTAGCCTAATATAACCTGGCCCGAACCCTAACCTAATACCCTTAATATAACCCATCTCCAACTTTAACCTCACATATCTAACCTTAATCTAACATCGCATAACGCCTCCCTAGCCCTATTATTACACAACATAACCCGTTCCTAACACTGCCTAACCTGAACCTTAAATCTACTGAAACTAATTCAAACCTTAACCTAATATAACCCATCCCTAACTTTAACTTTACCTAAACTATCTGTAACATAACGAAACCTAACCCATCTCTAACCGTAAACTTACCTACACAGAATCCAACCCGTCCCTAACCCTAATCCCTCCTAAGCCTTACCCTGCCGCAATCCTATTTATTCTTCTAACTCTGTCACTACACAACTTAACCAGTCCATAATCCTAACTGCCTATATGCTTCGAAGAAGGCACAACTTGTACCTTCCTCCATTTTGAAACCATCAGTGAAAATCAGTTGGTGTTTTGGCCATTTCTCAATGATTTCATTGTGGAATAAACAGTTTGCTGTGGAGTATCAAAATCAATGTGTAGCAGACATGTATTGATAGCCGTACACGAGGCTTAAACTTCGACCAACAGAATGCTTATCCTGAATTTCAGGTACTGAGACAACTTTTCCGTATGATTTTTGGTTTATTCATTGTTTTTGCACCATTGTACGATAAGTTTTCTATCGATATTTTTTTTTAAATTCTGCGTATTCCCCTTTTGTGTAAGCATGTGTAGGCACTGTCAAAGTTTATCGCAGTTTTCTCTTTCATGTGGGCCTGAGCAAACCACACATCTTAATGTGTCCTTGCATTGGTCTTTAATGTGCTAATATCGCAGGTATTTGTCAGTTTGAAGCACATTCTTATATTAATTCCCTAATTTACTCCTCTATTAGTGTGTAAGCCCTCACAATTATTCCTTCTCTCACAAGCAGCAAACCAGGGAGCTGTTATAGTTTTACTACCTAGGAAGTTAGAGCTCATCAGAATATTGGCCTCCTGACGTGATTTAAGTAAAATGTAATTCTATACTGATGACAAATTTAATGCACCGCTCGATTTATTTAGTTTAAAATTAAATCCATTATCTTTCTACATTACAGGTCATTAGGAGCTATCGCAGTCAAAATAAACAGTAAATAATGCTTTGTTTACTTCATTTAATTACTTTTGTACTGATTAATCTCATTTGCATAAAAAGTAGCATATGCCCTTCCATTCTGGTACGCATAAAGTTCGCTTTCAGTTAATATTTTTTCCTTTGTTGATTTCATTTGCTATTCCTATTTGTTATTATTCTTATTCCTAAACCTTTTTCAATGGCTCCAGTCAGGCATTTGAGTGATTATGACTAAGTCAGGGCAGTAATTAGAGGAAGGATAGAGCCAGCGCGAAGTCACCAAGAGACAGAGCGTAAATCACTCTACAATAGGAAGAGTTCTTCGGCGCTTCAGAGCTTCACACTAGAAGGCCAGGACAGGGTCGACCTAGGTCTATAGACGAGAGAGACGATAGATTCATCCATTATCAGGCCCTACGAAACCGCAACATTACGGGAAATGAGGTAAGAAATCTGATAAGACAAGTCCGACATGTTTCGTTTACCTCCAGGACTGTAAGAAGAAGGCTCACTGAAAATAACCTCAGGGCCTGGCACCCGGCTCGTGGACATCTCTTTACCACAACTCAGAAAATGGCCACACGTTAACACGTGAATTGGACAATCAATGATTGGGGACAAGTTCTCTTTAAAGGTGAGGTGAGAGTTGGCCCCAAATCTTCCGATCATTGGTGTTCTCGGGTGGCATTTCCTTGGACGCCCGCACCGAATTGGTTGTTGTGCGAGGAAGATCTCTAACTTCACTGAGGTACTTACAAGACATAATCGATGAACATGAAGTGCACTTGCTAATGCAGGATAATATTGGCCCCATAGAGCACGTTTTGTGGATATCCAATGAAGTTGGAATTGAGTGCTTGGTATGGCCACCTCAAAGTCCAGATTTAAACCCAATCGAACACATTTGGGACCAACTTAATCGACGAGAACGATGGCAAAACCCAAGTCCTGACACCCTAGAAGAGTTGGAACTGGCTGTTCTTGATCAATGGGAAAGAATTCCTCAGGATTTTGTCAGAAATCTTTTCCACTGAATGCAAAAGCGTTTAACGAACGTGATTCGTGCCAGAGGTGGAAATACTCGTTATTAAAAGGGACTAAAAACTTTGTTTGTAACATTTTGTAGAATATTTTGTTTTTTGTTCTTTACTAATTGTAATTAGAATTAGGTAGGAAATAAAAAATAATAATAAAAAATAATTTTTTTTTTAAATGTCTTGAACAACGAAACCTATTTTTGGTATGCAAAGAATGAATAAACCTAAATACATTATAATTTAATGATGGTGCGTTAATTTTGCCCATCAACTTATTTTGACCTGCTTTATCTATATTAAGGATTTTGTCTCTACTCAAATCTAAGTTCCCCTATGCTTATAGGATGTAATCTAGGTATGGAACGGATCTTTATCGTTTCGATGGAAAACATGTTGAGACGTGCGATTTGTTACAACAAAATTTAATTTTAGCGTTCTCTCTAAATGCTCGTTTTTATTGATGTTTCTATCGTTAAATTCTTATTTGAAGAAGAATCTTGATCAATTTGGATTGATACCCTATTAGATTTCTCTGAAGGTCGCCCTCCACTTTCAGATGGCATATTTGATTAGTTGTAATTAAATACAACTTACAAAATAAACCGACTTATTTAAATAAATATTGTTAAAATAAAAGTAAACGGATACTTGAGCAAACGTATCGGTGTTTTGTAGCCGTAACACTAGCTTTGGACGCCTTGGCAGTACGAAGGTCAGTATGTGTGAGACAGTAAACTCTCTCAATGAACTACGAGGCTTTTTAGAAAACAATACTCTCTTTAGTTGATCATACAAGTCAATTTACAATTTTGATCAGGACGACGATCCACAGCGTTTTGTATTTTTTTTAATTGACAAAATCCAAATTGTCTAAGAAGCTTGAGATACTACAGAATGAAAGACTGGGTTTAATGTATGTTGTGTGTCAGACTGAGTGTATAGAGGAGAGGGTTGGGATGAGAGAAAGGGTCTAAACATGAGACACATTTTCAAGCGGAATGAGCAGGTAATCAGCCGTTGTTCCTCCTCTGTATTTTCACTCCCGTCGTCCTACCTCGCCCGACCACATCGTGTTAACATAAGTTGCTATATATAACTTCAACATTTGATTGTGCGACTGGCAAACACAACACGAGTTTGGGCGGACGTCGAATCACTTTCATCCATGCCCCGTTTCTTTGAACCGTAAACCGTAAACTGTCTTTGCCATATTCAGGTTGGCGAAATGCCGAAACTCGTCCGACGGACGAGACAGACCAAAATGATCCGGTAACGACCAAATTACACATTTATATATTGATATAAAAACTTCAGGTGGAGAGTAAGAGATTGATTAATTGATTAAAGTTTTAATGATTAAATATAATTAACACTGTTTTTAAAGGGAAGTTTTGAGTAACACTTAAGATATTTGTAAAACCTATTCTGTTAACGGACTAAATTATGGTAGCTAGATAGATGAAATAAAAAAAATACTTCAAAAAGTAGGATCAGCCCAATTGATTTAACAAACCTTTAAAAAGGAACCGAACAAAAATCAGGAGCTGTTTTATAGAGACAGTGGTAGGGAGAGAAAGAAAGAGCAGGAGAGAGAGTGAAAGAGAGACAGTGGTAGAGAGAGAGAGAGAGAGAGAGAGAGTGAGTGAGAGAGAAAGAGAGAGAGAGCGAGAGAGAGAGAGAGAGAGAGAGAGAGAGTGTGAGAGAGATTTGCTACAAATGGTATCTCACCATTTTAAACTATTCAAATGTATAAACCGAATAAATTCTTGTTATCAGTTAAAATAGAATTAGTAATATATAAACAAAAGCAGTATATTTACGCAGTAACACCGTCTTGAATGTTTAACGTGCAAAAATTCATATTTATTTTTAAAAGGGAAATTTGAATTTTTTCTAAAAGTAAAATTAAGCCCTACATAAAAGTATTGTAGTAAATCCTTTTTGAGAAAAAAGAAGGTCAACGTGTAGTATATCCTGTGCGTAGGGCGTCCATAAAACACGGCATTTCTTTGTATGTTCGTTTTGCCTAATGTACTGGACTTTAGAAAACAACTGAAATGTACTAATAGATGCGACACACGAATACTTCGGACCTTCTGACGGTAACCGAACACAGGTGGGTGTTGGGCGACGTGGAGGCCGTTTTCCAAGACATCGGGAAGAACTATTTTGTCACTCGATAATGACACTAAATCGTGATTATGAAGGAAAATCTGAACCACCTTAGCCGTCGTCTGTTATTAGTCAGCTGAATTTCAAATAAAATTATGCTATTCTATGAAATTCTGATGTCTAAATAAAGCGATTAAAATCTTCCTAGGATCTGTGGTAAGAGTTGGAACTGATAACTCATGCCCTCTGGTGTTTTTTATGACAAATACTATCCTTACAAATGATTTACTTTTTATTTTTGAAAACTCTTGGCAGGATTCCTTCAGGTTTGAACTAATTAAGTGTTGTTTTTTAAACAGAAATATGAAGCATCTCAAGAGAACGGGGATGTACGGGACTTTGTCCGATATGCATCCCGCACTTCCAGTCCGTCCCGGGGAAATACAAAAGGGCCCACGTCAGGACGAGGACATATCTCAGGTCAATGTCTTCAGGAAGGCTCAGTTTAAAATCAAACTCGGTGAGAAAGTCCGACTGGCGAAGTTAAAACTGGCAGTCATATCCTTGGTGAATTCGCCTCAGAACACTCCAGATTGCTCGGACCTGGTCGAAAAAATGTCAACGATAAATATCGGATGCGATACTGATGTGGATTAAATTCCTTATAGTTTTCAAAATTTAAAATTAAAATTTTTATTTTAAATTGTTGCATTCCATTTCTTTACACATTCCCATTAGTATACTGTTTTGTGAAAAGTTAATTACTTAATTGATTAAATATAATTTTAATCTTGTCACAATGACATGACTTATCAATCAGTTTCAGCCGAAGAAGATGCCCAGATGGATATTCGGTGACTATGTTCTATTGATGCTAAAAGATCTGTAGTCTAGTGATCCCTGATTGAAAGTTCTCTCTAGTAACTTTTTTCTTTATTACACAGCTGGTAGGATATTTGTCAAAGGCTAGGGGTTATTATCTGCCTTGTCATTTCCCTCAATATTTTAACTATGCTAATTTTGTGTCCTTTCGTGAAGTTCGTCGACAATCAAGCCAGTAGCGTTAAGCATTTGGTTTTTTGAGTTCTCAACTAGTATTGCTACCTTTGAGTCTGCGTATTTAATACTACAAATACAGAAACATTTTCTCATTTATTTTGCTGTCATCATTTGTAAAAGATATCACAAAGTTCAAAAAATGTTGAGGTCATTTCCTAAGTGTGATTAGAACGTCCCATTTTTCCTTTTCTCTAGATTTTCATTGTGAATTATCTAGTTAACTGGGTTAATGAGCGACCTCTTTTATTTATGTATGTAAAAAGGAGGATTCTAAACAGGATTATTCTTAGCAGGATGCTAAGTTGAACTATTTTCATTCAACAGGTCCATTTTCTTATCCTACATCTTTGGACAAGTCTCTTCTGCAATTCCTATCTTATCTGACAAATTTTTGAAAATGCTTTTTGAGCATTTATTATATCATATTATCATTAGTAAAGTCGATGTGTGAGTTACACAGAAATTTTTCTTATATTATGAAACATTTTCGTGTTGAGCTGGAATACAAATGTCTGGAAAAATTTAAAAACAGCTATTATTGGTGATTTATAGTTTCACTGAATATTGATGATAAAGATAAACCTTTGTTTGAAAAAAATAAGCCCTGAACTTACTTTAGTAGTATAGTCAAACAAATAGCACCTACCCAAGGATGTTCCGTCGGTGATCTGGTAACATTCATAAAGGGAAATTCAAGGACACTGTGTCAAACGACATTCAAAACGCACTAAATATCCTAAATGTAGGAAGATGGTATGAGAAAAAGTGTTTAAATAAAAACCCTAAGAAAATATATATTTACAAAAAGAAGGAAGCTCAATCTAAAAAATCCCAATACAAAGAGTATCTTAACTTTCTCCATAGAAACAAAATACCTAGGGTATAACATTTGACCAAGGCTCAAATGGAAAAACACTTAGGCAACGTTTTGCATAGAAGCCAAAGCTTTACAAAGCATTGGCCACAGGTTATGCAGTAAAAACTGGGGAATAAACTCCAGGATGGCGTACTGATTTATACCACAGCGGTCAGGCACATGGCCAGGTATGGGGCTCTAGCATGGTAGCCAAAATCACTGAACAAGGAGACGCAGACCAAACTATAAAATCTACAAAAACTAGCCTCTCTCAATGTAACAGGGGCAACACATACCTGCTCCATTACAACAATGGAAACTGCACTCGACCTTCCATCTCCTTATATATTTATGTACAGAAGGAGAGAGTGTAACCAGACGCCTGAGATACAAGGAAATAAAGCCAGAACTAAGGAAGAGCACCCGGAAAGAATTAAAATAATGAGAATATCATAACGATATTTGACAAAATGAGAGAAAAACTCAACTTTGACAGACCCTCCCAAGTGGACATAAATAATAGAGACCATTGGAAGAGAGGCAGTCTCAAGTTCAGAAATAGGTTCTGGTATGGTACACAGATGGATGGAAGATGGAACAGGGAGTGTAGGGGTTAAAGGACCGAACTTCACCCTAGCAAAGCCCTTGGACTAATCCCAACAATTTTCCAAGGTGAGATCCATGCAATACAACTCTGTGTACAGGATTTAATAAAGAAAAATATGAAAGGTGCTCAGATTTACATACTCTCAGACAGCCAGGCAGCCATAAAGGCAATAAATGCGTACGCTCTAACTCCAAACTGGACTGGGATGGCTAAATTTCCTAAGGCTCAAGGAAAACACAACAAGATTACCTTAATGGGTTCTGAGGCATGAAGGTCTAGAAGGGAATGAACAGGCTGACCAATTAGGAGGAACGAAAAACATCGGCACATGTCCTTTGTGAATGTGAAGCATTAGACTGGTTACGGCAAAAAAGTGCACTTTCACTTTTACAGGGGTTCGTTAGATCTACATTGGTCACAGTAGAAGAAAGGATTTTTATAATTCCTAATCAACCCTCCAAACTAATAAAAAAAGTTTTATTTATTTTAAATAAACGATTCCACTCAGTGATTCACAAGCTGCAAAAGACGCTGGTGATCGTTCACCAGCCAAAAAAGGCCAAAACCTCCTATTATGAACACAACAGCTGGGAAAATGATGAAAAATTGCAAAATTTGTTTTGCAATAAAAAATTGATAAATTTAATTGCAGAATTAGAAGTATTCATAGGGAAACTAGAATCTATGTTTTATTCTGTTTCAAAATTGTCCAGATCTGGTGACGTTGTGGTAAGGGATTCGTTATCTATCGGTTTGTTGAAATTGAAATTGCTAGAATGGAAATATCAACAGAGTGAGCTTTCCACGAAATATTTACAAACAAAATACGTAAAAACACCCAATAATCACACCGGTCGCCGATCAGTTGACGTCAATTTAGAAGAGTTAACAAACACAAACAAAGCTGAGATTAACAAATATGTAACATGCTATTTGAACTGTTGTATATATTATATATCATATACCCAATTTTTTTTAATAGACAAAAGAGGGAAGTATAAAGAAAATACTTTCACTCATTAGTAGTCAATTAAATCAAGTCAATAAATTGTCCACTGATATTAAATTAACATAATTAATTCCAATAAAGTTAATTATATTTGAAAGAGTAGATCAGCTCCTCTCCCGTTGGACCCCGATCAAATCTAGACATTTTGGCAGCAGGAAGAAGACGTAAATTAGAATCTGTGAAAATATTTTTGAACAAACAAATTTTTTCTACTAAAAATGTCTCATAAAGAAAAAACTAAATCAATTCTTTTTACAAAATTCGGATAAGAATTATTTTAGTCTTCAAACCAGAAACATTATATGAAATAATACTTAAGTTTTGCAATGTACAAACACTTTTAGAGACTGCAACTTGGGGCCGGCTGACTGGTGTGTATCAGACTTAAAGAAAAAGCTAACTGTTTTGATTTGGAGCAGGTATTTTGCAAAAAAAGAAAAAAAATCCTAGTTCATTAATTCATTTAGTTTGATGATCCCGTCGTAACTTCCGTATTCCAGGTCTTCCTTTTCATTCCATTTGAATTTGTTGTTCATTAATTTGAGACGTCTGCATCAACTACCGCTTTGACATTTTTGTTCACCCGAAGGATCTCAGAAGCAGCTTAGACCTGTTCTTCCTCATGCTGATGGGAAGGTCGTTTGTACAAGGAATCCTGCGTTGTTGAGTTTTCTGGTTGCCCGTCAGATCGTCTGCTCCGAGGAAAAAGAGACTAGTAAAGTTGAAGAATTATCTTTTTACAGTTTTTTGTTCAGTGGAAAGACATGCAAACTTATCTCGTACTATAATACCCTTGGATATTAAATTTTTGGAGCGGTATTTGAAGTCCAAATTTTCCAAGCAACTTGTCTCGTTGCCGTCTCCTTTATCTTTAACATTTCCTTTTTTAAGGTTTACTTTTCATCACGAAGAATCCTGTTATCTTTTCTCAAAACAAAGGAAATCCTTTCTCAAAATCCGTTTTAGAGTTATTCGCGATTTTTGGGAAAAAAACTTGTTTTTTACATGCACATGGAAAAAACAAAGCGTTGCTGTTTCATACATTTCCGGCTAGGTTATTTCGAACTTCTCCAGGAGAATGTTTCATAGCTGTTGTTTGCAATAATTCGGTCTTTCCTCACTGGTTTTCTCAATACAGTACACCCCCAGTATCAGTGCTGACCCACCATTGAATATGGCTCATTAAGAAAAAAATTCACGAGCTGCTTCATCGGCGGCAAATCGTTTGTTTAAAAATGTGATAGATGTAGGTGTACCACAAGGAAGCATCTTAGGACCCATTCTTTGCACAACATATACCACAGACATATCTATCCTCCCTGTAACGATTCTACCTATGCGGATGACAAAGCCATCCTTTGTCTCATAAAGATCTCAAAAAGATCAGAAAACTACAAAACTTGAGGATTGGTATACAGGGTGGAAGATGACAATAAAAAGACAAAAATGTGAACATGTAACTTTCACCTCACAGTCGCGTTTGAACAGTGATCGAGGAAGGATCAAGACGTTACCTTTTGTTTTTGTTCCACTCGCAATTACTTCAATACGGATTTCAGAGAGTAAAATTGCATGAAATTTTATTTTATTTATTTTTCATTGTTTCTTCTGATTAGATTATTGCATGAATATGTAAATTATATATATGTATTAAATTATTTATTATTTATTGTCACTTATTTATTTTGTTAGGATAAGATTGTTGCTTCTCCTTTTTTACTGTCCAGTTTAACGAGATATTACCTCAAATATATTAGTCCTTAATTCAATATGTCCGAATTAAGTGGGGGGAATGACCCACCTGATATTACCAAAAAAGAATTGAGTTACAATTCGAAAACCGACGTTGACATGGTGGACTCTAAGGTAAATAATTTAAAGAGGCCAGCTAACAGCTAACAAACATTAATGGTCCTTCATTTGGCCCGTATACTACATATCAGGGCCTTCCGCAGGGAGGGATTTTGAGTCCTGTATTGTTTCTAATTTATGTACATGATCTCGCTAATACAATCTCCCCAAGCATTAAAGTTATACAATACGACGACATATGTCTTTATACGACTCGTCGATCGATTGAAGACGGGATTTGGCACTGGATGAGGAAATGGTCGCTTTTGCTAAATGGGCTATAAAGAATAATTTGTCAATATCAGCCTCTAAATCGTGTGT